CCCCACCCCAGCCTGTTCAAATGCAGACTCCTGGCCCCATCCCAAGTGAAGATTCAGGGTGAGGGCATGGGATCTGCATTTTTAAGTTCCCTGGGTGATTCTGATGTGGAATATTCCAGAAGCATAGTTCCAGAGGCACTGATTTAGAACCTGAATTCTGTGGAGTGTAGGGAGGGAGGGAGATGGCCCAGGTTCCACCCACTCTTTCTTCACCCAGGAGTGCTGAGGAAGCAGTGACCCCTGATTAAGAGGATATTCAGTCCACTGTCTTTCCATCAGCATTGAGAGGACAGGCGCTGAGCCGAGCCAAGCCAAGGAGTTCTCCCTGAGGGAACTGCAGACACCCCAGTGTGGAGGCAGAAAGAGATTTTTAAAGATAGGAGGGTGTCCTATTGAATGGAACAATTTTGGGTCCAGGGTGGTGACCAGCAAAGAGGTCCAGGGGCCAGATTGTGGAAAGTCACCCTTGTGGCCACTGGTGTCACCCAAAAAGTGCAGCACTGTTGCCACGAGGTGGTCTCAGGACTGGGTTCCAGTTCCCCACCCATGTGGTGTTCACTGGGACCTGATGGAAACAGACAGGGTGAGAAACTTCTGGAGAAGCTAGGGGGTGTGGGCGGGCTGAGGTTCAGTCTCCCAATCAGGCCTGTCCTCTAAAGACCCAAACAGATGTGAACCGCTGTCGCCAGGCAGGGCGTGGGCTACAGGGAGTCAGCCTGCTGTGCTCCGAGAAAAGCCAGCAATTCCGGGAAAACGACAGTCCTGCGGGGTCACCGAGGGTCGCAGCAGGTTCGGGGAAAGGGAGACCGAGCACTTCCGCTTTCGGTCCCAGGGCCAGCCCTTGTCCCCCCTCCCCCATCCCCAGGGCTTAGCGCCACCCCCCTCGGTCCCGCCGAATCCCTGCTGAGCCCGCCCCGCGAACGCAGCAAGGGGCTCGGCCGCGAACACAGCCCCGACGGGCCGCGGTGGGAGACCCGCCCCGCAGTGCGGCGGCCCAGCCCCGCTCAGCGGGAGGTGACGCCCCCCACCAGCAGGGGCAGGAGGGGCAGCAGGAGGGGCACCGACGGCGGCCTCGCGGCCCGGTTGATCTCGCACTGACAGTTGCAGGTTCCAGGCCTGAGAGTCGCTTTGGGGAGCCTGGGGGAGCGAGGGCCAGGGGCCGGGCAGTCCAGCCACTGGGGGCCCATGGGTTGGGGGGAGTCCGGGTCGGCCTTGACGCTGCCCTTGGGAAAGCGCCAGTAGTGGACGCCCTTGAAGAAGTAGGTGTCACCTGCGGGGCGGACGGAAACGCTGCAGGGCTGGCCCGGGCCGCCCCAAGCCCCGCCCCTCCCGAGGACTGCCCGACCCCCCCAGATGACCTCTCGCCCCAACCCCGGGGACAGCAGCTTGCAGTCCCGGGGCCTCAGACTCTCCCCGCCGGCTCTCTTACCTGCGTTGCTGACGGTGACATCGTCGGGGGTGAGAGGAGCCCCCTCCCAGAGACTCAGGTCGCGCGGGTAGCCAGGGTCCGGTTGCGCCGCAGCCTCGTCGAACCGCCAGTAGCGCTGGCCGCGGACCAGGTAGGTCTTCCCGTTCAGCGGCCACGAGAACACGGCGTCCACCTCCTCCCCGGGCGGCAGCCCCAGCTCGGCCAGCGGCCGCGGGGCGCCCTCTAGCTGCCGGTCCTTGAACACCCAGAACTGCGCGCCTGCGGGGAGGCGGCTTGGTGAGCACCTGCTCCCGCGCCCTGCCTGTCCCCGCCGGCGCCCCACTCACCACTGAAGAGCAGGATTCGGCCATCTGGGTGCCGGGCGTAGGCAGCCTGGATGACATTCACCTGGAGCGGCAGCCCCTCCCAGAAGCGGTGGATGCGGGCAGGCCGGCGGGACACCAGCTGTCCTGAGGGTTGGACGCGCCAGAACCAGGGGCCTGCGGGAGAAGGGGTGGGCAAGGAGCATGAGATGGCAAAAGGTCTTGTCCCCCTCCCCCGAGTGTGTGGCTGGGACTCGGTGCTGTGTGGAACCTCCATCTGGAAATTAAAGGGTCCAGTGGCTCTAGGGTGACCAGCTGGCCCAGGATTTTCCTTCCACCCCT